CTAGTGTAGATGACAGGTCAAGAAGTGGTCGCCCTCGGTCTGTTAGGACTCCAGCAGTGATAAAAGCTGTGAAGGCGCGAATTCAAAGAAATCCCAAACGTAAGCAGAAACTGTTGGCCCTTCAGATGGGGTTAAGCAGAACCACGGTGAAAAGGGTGTTAAATGAAGACTTAGGGCTTCGGGCATATCGAAGAAAAACAGGACATCGTTTGAATGCTCGTCTAATGGACCTGAGACTGAAGAGATGCCGCGCTTTGTTGAAGCGGTACGCGGGAAAAAAATATCGGGAAATTCTTTTTTCGGATGAAAAAATTTTTACCGTAGAAGAGAGCTACAACAAACAAAATGATAAGGTGTACGCACACAGTAGTGAAGAAGCGAGCAACCGTATTCCGCGTGTCCAACGAGGTCATTTTCCATCCTCGCTCATGGTATGGTTGGGAGTTTCTTATTGGGGCTTAACAGAGGTACATTTTTGTGAGAAAGGTGTAAAAACGAATGCAGTTGTGTATCAAAATACAGTCCTGACGAACCTTGTGGAACCTGTTTCTCATACCATGTTCAATAACAGGCACTGGGTATTCCAACAAGATTCGGCGCCAGCTCATAGAGCGAAGAGCACACAAGACTGGCTGGCGGCGCGTGAAATCGACTTCATCCGGCACGAAGACTGGCCCTCCTCCAGTCCAGATTTGAATCCGTTAGATTACAAGATATGGCAACACTTGGAGGAAAAGGCGTGCTCAAAGCCTCATCCCAATTTGGAGTCACTCAAGACATCCTTGATTAAGGCAGCCGCCGATATTGACATGGACCTCGTTCGTGCTGCGATAGACGACTGGCCGCGCAGATTGAAGGCCTGTATTCAAAATCACGGAGGTCATTTTGAATAAACTTTAGTGTCATAAGAATCTATGTTTTGTTAAGTTCATCTTGGTATATGAATGGTAACATAATGAATAAACTTGTTTCAATTATTTTACATTAAACATGTGACAGAATTTATGACCTGACTAGGTATATAATATACAAGAATTGCTCGTTTAAAGGTATAAGATAAGATAAGATATTATAATGTGAAAATTTTAGTACCGGATTCATGACGTACGCGAGTTCGGGAGTCCTTGGCTATTGTTTTTAATCAGAGCCTTTGAAATCAAAAGATTTAAAAAAAAAAAATTTTTACATCTAAAAGGCAATATGACCAGTGAGAATTAGCCTCCACGCGCAATCATTTCACAGAGTATTGTCTGATTTTCGAATCGTTTATAGGCAATTAGATAAATAGGGAGTCCTTTCGAAATTGGTACACTATTCGCTTTCGCTGTGGCTTACATTTAAGCAGGGCTATCTTAGCTAATACTAGAAATCTTTAAATAAACAAATCTAACTACTTTGAGCGATAGACGCCTTGTGATATATTTAGCAATACAGCGCTTTATTACAACTAGTGGTCCCGCAGTAGTCGAAATTCGACTGTAATTAATTGAAATTATAAGTTTCAACATTATTATGGTCCTATTGTTACAGATTTCACCAAATTTAGACAAATACTCGTAATATTAAATATAAACAATACTAACCTATTCTCAATTTGACTACAGATTTTAAGTAATAACAAAAGTTTGAAAATAAACAAAGAGTATATGTATTGTGTCAAATACATGGTAGTGTGTGTAATGTTTTCTTTATCGACTTAATGTATATTTTATACATTATTTTAAAAAAATATTATCATTGTGCACTTCTTCTCTATATTCTCTATAAGTGTGGAAAATTTCATACTCCTTTCCATCCGCGCAATTTTCGTAAAAGGGGATACAAAGTTTTTGCTTCACGTATTAATATATAGATATACTTACAACCGCGTAATACCATCTTAACAATTTTGAGCGAAACATTAGTCAGTGACTGCCAATAGTCTTGTCGCGTTATCAGCGGATACCTTCAAAGTTAAATCGTTACAAATGAGGGGAAGGCTTGAAGCTAAGCGACAACACAATCATTTGTTACTGTTAATTAGTAATCCGTGGATGAATAATAGGCGAAACGTGCCATTTGTAATTGCCGAATTATTCAAATGATTTATGAAACTGAATCCTAGTCTCGACGTTAATCCGAATGATAATATTGTCTAATAAATATATTAATTAAGATGCGCTGTGGAATGTTTTAAGTGGGAAATAGTTATGTTATGTTGATCTGGTATAGCACGACCGTATCTATCTCGTCGGTGACATAAAATTAAATTAAGATATTTTCTGGAAATTGGCAGTAATGTTCTCTGAATGTTTTCATCAGAACGCGGCAATTGCCAGTATTTATTGGTTGTAAGCAGTATTTTGAGCTTGCACGGGTAAATACTACTATCCGGGTAATTTTTGCCGCGAAACAATCATGCGTCCGGTTTGTAGGAAGGTTCCGTTGTTATAAAGTAGTTTAGATATTTATACAGTGCAATCTCGATATAACAAATCGGAAGGAAACAAGTAAATATTCGTTATATCAATTAATTCGGTAAACTGAGGTTTGTTATAAATTAAGGTTAGGTTAGTCTACCATTGGTTATAACGAGGTAAAAAAAATATAGTTTTATTCACCTCCACATTACGTGCTCATCTTGTTACAACGAAAAACTTCTGCTAATAAATGATAACACATTTTTATCCATCCACTGATTCACGTATGGGATTAAGGGTCATATTGGTGGGAACGTTATGTAAAAGTTTTGGGTTGACAAAATTCGTTAATTAGAGCTATGTATTCAGACTTTGTTTTGATAGTTGAAAATTGATTTAAAAGAGATTGTTCGCAAGAAATTTTCGCAATGTAAAGGTATATTTTACATTGACTATTATGGACAATTCAAGGGGATAAGGAAGAATTTGTTAAATCGAGGACATCGTTAAACTGAGGTTCGTTATATTAAGGTTGCACTGTAGTACGTTTAGCCTCGCCAGTTGCCTCAAGGGCTATTCTGGCTTTGCCTAGCAGATAGGCGAGCTCACAGGGGTCAGCCTGGGAGACTTTGCTAATATCTGCCCAAACAAGAGCAGTGCTTTACTGAACATATCATAGGATCGGAAACGTGACCCACTGAGAAGATCCTCTGAGAAACTCAATGAGTTGGGTCTGTGGGTTAATTCTATAACTCTTCGCATTCGACGAGAGCAGTGATCGGTACTTGAGAGCCTGGTAGTATTCACCTTATAGGGTTTTATGTGCTCCGATAACCCCATAGTACCAGATGACCATCACCACTGACTAGTGAATTTGGACTAGTTAATTACATAAATTGGTGCTTTATTATAAGCACGTTTCGATCGTGTAAGGATCGTAGTCAATTCTTCAAGATAATTGTACTTGTTAAGTCACATCATTATTTTAAAGTCTTAGACATTGAAGTCATGTTTTATGGTCAGTCATTGATTTATCCAACAATGTAAAATTATTGTAACTAGTGGTCCCCCACTAGTCGAAATTCGACTTTAATCATAGACTATATATTCAAAGACTATATTATACTTCTGTAATAACAGATTTCACTAAGAATACACTGTAGACAGATAATATTAAAGACATACAATATTTATTAATTTAATGTCAATATGACCATAGACTACCAAAAGTTTGACAATAAACAAAGAGTTTGTTGATTGACATGTCTATTTACAAACTAGATGTTCGCAAAAAGTTCCTCAATTTTTTTTTTTTAGTTAATAACCTAAAAGTACATGTTATTATCCGCAACACGCTTCGTCAGATTACAGGAATAGAGTTGTCAGCAACATGCTTCGTCAAAAAGTACAATTACTTACTTTCAGCTGCAAGCGTCATCATAAGTAACATGTTTGTTGATTGAGTCGATATGTGTAGTGTTAAATACATGGTAGTGTGTGTAATGTTTTTTAATGAAAAATGGTCGGAGCTCTGTAAGTCAAGGCCGCTCGATAAGTTTGTAAAATTGTGATTACATTACAGTATCAATTAACTGCAGTACTGTTACATTTTGACATGGAAATTAATCAGATTTCTGGAAAAACGAACATTCAGACGTTACTATGTATTTATTTAGAGGTCCTTGTTATTCTAATTAAAAAGTCGAGTGTAGAATGTTTGAATGGTTATTAGTACAAATTCAATTACGTGGTTTTTACAAATGACCATTAAAATATAAATTTTAATTTAGCTTGTTTTAATGACCGCTATGTTAATAAGTATTTTAACCGATTGTTTTAAGTTTGTTCTTAATAACATATTACAAATTAACATAAACACTATGAAGATTTATTTTTGAAGTATAGCTTATTTAGGGACACTGTGACTGTAATTTAGAAGTTTTTAATACACTTTTTAAAAAAAAATTGAAAAAATTGAAATTCAACTAAAAAATGAAAAATAAATAAAAGTTTAAAAAAACTAACAAAATACGCTTTTATAGAAAAACCAACTAAAAAATAGAAAATCCAACTAAAATACAGAAAATGAATTTGAATTAAAAATAGTGTAAGAAAAAAAAGATTTTATTGTAAAAAACGCGTTACTACTTCACGGCAGAAATAGGCGGGGTGGTAGTACCTACCCGTGCGGACTCACAAGAAGTCCTACCACCACCGTATGTGAGGCGGTCCACGCTGCCGAGGACAGGTCTCTGTGGTGCGATATAGTCCGCCGGAAGATTCTGAAATCCCACAGAAGACACGATTTTTGGCATTGAAGATTTAGGACACAAGGAGGAGAGGCTGATCAGCTTGTTGGCTGTCCTCTCACATGGAAAGTTACCTATTTCAATAAACGTCACAACGTCGCCATCAACGCACCAAAATGCCGCCACCCACCTTCAGACGTGAGGTCGAAAATTCAACTGCAATAACACGATTATGTTACTAATTTATGTTGTACCTATTCATTTTCTCATCAATTTATTAATTTACCAATTAAGTAAAAAAATTACGATTTTTAATAGATTTATTTCGAAATTGTTCTTACAGTCTCTCAGTTGGATTTTAATAACATTCAATAATTAAAAAAATGCGAATAACATAAATTCCAACAATGCTAACGATATTGAAATATAAAAAAATTACATTTTATTTTTGAACTTAAAATCGTATTCCCCTGAATCTCCTTCCTGTAAAATCCTTTCATTCTTCCACGAAATATACATATGTACTTTTAGGTATATTTTAATCGACGCTCAAAGTTCTGAAAGTGCCTGGCAATCCCATGTCTTCATTTTTCATTTCCCTCACCCTATACGCCTCGTTGACTTGAGCTTTTTTCATTTCACAAAAGTATTCTGAGCTTTCCTTCGAACTCAACAGATCGATCCAGTCCTCTGAAATACATGTGAATAAATAATTAAATGAAACGCCCAAAAATTTAAATTAGTGCAACTGTAAGTCTGCTGGACTGTGTCGCATCGTAATCAATTTTAAACGAAGTCTGGGAAGTTATATTATTGTTACATTCAATATACTGGCGAACATTGAAGCCAAAAGATTTGGCTACGGCGGAATACGTTTTCCTTGGACAAGTTCATTTTAGACGACAGCTCGAATACCGGTCCTAGTTTAATAAGGCGTTAGCGTGCGCATATAAAGCTATGAAATTTGTCATCAGAGACAGAGAAGTGACCATGTCCATATTATTTTATCTAATTGTAACGCTGCTTTATTTAAAAAAGCTTTTAATGCAAGGGGATCTTGGATCTTCCATCGAGCGAGGGGTTTTGATACATAAGCTGACAGTCCGAATGTTGTTTTAAAAAATGTTGAATGTCGTATTTGCGGGATCTCTACTATTCTGCGATAGTTATCGCTACAATCACGAATTAAAAGAGAAATTGGTGGCACCTAATACGATAACAGCAGAAAAAAAATTGTTTTAATGATTTGTACTTTGTGCGTAATGTATCAAAAAATAGTGACTTGAGGGGTCACAGTGTCTAGGAAAGGCGGACGCTTCAGCTTGTTGCTTTACGTTACATTGAGGGTTCATATGCTATGTATTTACTGACACCTGACGTGCTTATGCGTATCTTAATTGACAGATAGATTATCTTAATTGGCTTTACTAAGATTGCCAGAAATATTGCTCACAGAGTGTCACATTTTCTAAAACTTTAATGTCAATAGGTGGAGATTGAAGATTGGCATATCCCGCAGGATAGTTGGTGCCCTTGTTATAAGAGTTGGGCTTGTTATATGATGCATCGTTCTCTACTGGAGAGCACATTAAAATAAGGATTTACCTAGGACTAACCGTACTGTGTTTTGTTAACCGATTTCAAAAAAAGGAAGAAGTTATCAATTCGACTGTATTAATTTTTACATTTGATTTTTTGATTCTTTTCTGTGCTCCTCATGTGGTCCCAGTTAGATTTTATCAAGGTGCGACCAGTGATTCTGGTTCTTATGTAGCTATTGTCTTCGGCTACATTAAAGTCTATTTTTTGTTGGTCTGTCTGCTAGAATTTTGTATTATGTAAATTAGAATTGATGCAAATGTGACATGACAGACAAAAATAGTCAATTGTTTTATTATTAATGATTTACATAAATTACTCACACAAATCATTAATAATAAAACATGTTTGTAATTGTAAATGTATTTTAATACATTCATTTCAATATTAATGAATTAATATACTAATTAGTTAATTGTTATATTTTTAAGCTCACATTGTCACATTGTCACTTTTATGCAATCCATGAATATCAGTTTAATTCTTGTCTATTAAGTTTCTATTTTTGTGTATCTGAAGTAAAGCTGTTGTATTCGTTGTACGAGGAGGACTGCTGCTTGAGATACAAGTTTTATCACCTAGTTCAAGCACAGATGCAAATTATGATTGTTTTTCCATGTTAATAATAAATAAATAAATAAATTAAAAATATTCCAATAGAAAGATGCATTGCATGTAAATTCCAAAGATGCATTCATACTACCTTGTATTTCTTTTAGTGATCGATCCATCCCTCCCAGTTCTTTGGGCAGTATTCGCTGAGATATCACCTGGTGCAGTGATTCCAATGTTTCATGCACTTGGAATCTGGATGCCACTTTAGGACTGAATAACGGTTTCACTATTTTTAAGAAAGCGTCGATTGTTTTCGAAGGAGTCAATATATGAATCCCTTTTATTCTTAGTCCGTAACCTTCCTGTAAAATATTGTTTACTCTGATGCATCATATCGTTCAGATTCACTTTGCTAATTGTTTTCTTTTCCGATCCAAATTAGGATATAATGTTTTGATGGTAAAAAAAATTATTATCTCATACCCTACATACCCCATACGGCTACAAGTCATGTGACGAACCTTCAACTACATACCATACATACAAAAACCGAACATAACATTGTCCCATAAAAAGACCCAACTTACCAAAATTATTGTGGTAAACTCCTTTAATTCTACTGGGTTGAGTCGAGCTAACAAATTCATAATGCTTATGTCTCTGTAATCGACAATTATTATGTATCCATCCGCACAATCATACATCTTGAGATAATCTATGTACTGAAAAGGAAAATAATTTTGAAATTTTTTAAAATGTATATGTTTTCAAGATCCGTTAAAGACTGTGAGAGTCTTAGATGCTAATGAAGTCATGTAGCTCATTTTTGGTGTACTAAAAAGCTTTCATGCGATTCATTGCCATGCACCTACACGGAGTAATATCGTTCACTCGCTTCGGAATTGTGAACGCGTCTGCGGTTAATACTGGAATGCTTGGGAATTTTAAACGATATTAACCTGGCAAAAACCACCTCCAAAAAGGCCAAAAGGCCTCCTTCAAAAAAAAAAGAACTAAGCATGCTGTTATTGTCTCCAAATTTCAATTTCATGCTGTAAGTACATTCTTGAAAAGTTTAACTTGAATGTGTGGAAGGAAATTAAACTTTTAGCGTTTTTGTCGGTTACTTTGGATAATTCTGTCCTTATTATTATTATTACCTTATTCACAATAGGAAATAAAACTTACCGCAATAATCAATTTGTAATAATCTAAATACGGAATTTTATCAAAGAATTCGTTCCCGATCGATTTCAAGAAAAGTATTCTATGATAACTTATTAATTTGGGCAATACAATTAACGTTGAACTGCAAGAGAAAAGTGTGTCACATATTAAAAAGTAAAAAGAATTTGGTGTTTAATGAAAATCCAGACGACGCTGCTAACACTAACCCTAGCAAGAGCAGTGCTTCGCAGGTTCTACCACCGGATCAGAAACGCGAACACTGAGAAGATCCGGCGAGAAAATCAGTGGACTGTGTCTGTGAGTTAATTTACTCGCCGAGCCCATCGCCGCAAGCGACGGGTTCGACGAGAAGATTCAACGTTAGTGCAGATTAAGTAAACGAGAAAGTGATTAATGATGGAATTTTGACACTACAGGAGTTAAAGGAATATAATAGAAATAGCAAGACTTGTGGCTTAGAGGTCTACCGGTGTAGTCTTTTAGGTTTGTCTGCCTGCAAAAGCAATAAAAACATTTTTTTTTATTACTTAGATTGGTGGACGAACTCACAGTCCACCTGGTGTTAAGTGGTTACTAGAGCTCATGGACATCTACAACGTAAATGCGCCACCCACCTTGAGATATAAGTTCTAAGATCTCAGTATAGTTACAACGGCTGCTCCACCCTTCAAACCGAAACGCATTACTGCTTCACGGCAGAAATAGGCAGGGCGGTGGTACCTAGTAACCAGTAATTACGCAAATTATAATTTTGGGGGTTCCAATTTTATTACACGATGTTATTCCTTCACCGTGGAAGCCAATCGTGAACATTTGTTGAGTACATAATTCATAAGAAAAATTTGTACCCGCCAGGGATTCGAACACCGTTGCATCGCTCAACACGAATGCACCGGACGTCTTATCCCTTAGGCCACGACGACTTCCAAATATAGTGACTGACTGTTAAAATGAATATTTGTTTCTTTGATATAAGCTTCACGTTCTTTCTGTTTCTCTCCTTTCAGAGCTTTAAAGCTTCTTCCATTACATATAGGGTTTCAAAATCTTACCTGATTTAGATTATCGTCGGATTCCATAAAATACTATAAAGGAGAACTCACCAGAAGAACAGGTTTTCAAAATCCTTCCTAATATCCTCGAAACCATAAAACTTCGGTAGAACACTATGGAGAGTAAACAATTTTTCTAGCCTAGATTTAGTCCTTTCGATAGAGCACTTGCTTCCTAATATGCTCATTTCTAAATATGTCCTTGCTGTAAATAACAGATGTCGAATCATCAAGGTCGGTTTCTGCATATGAATTTTATTTTGAAACCGAGGTGATCTTTCAGTTATTGTTTTAAGTTTGTCAAAGATAATAAGTTTGTAAGTTACTACTAGCCGTATACGCCCGCTTCGCTGGGCATTTAAAATTAACATGATAATTTTTGTCATTATTATTAGGGAGTCCAACATTCATATAAATATTAGCCTATCCATTAAGTACATGTATTTTCTACATGGATACTAAGTTTCAAGTCAATCGGATGCATGGTTCAATAGTTATAACGGAACATCCGTAAAAACCACTTTAGACTGTAGTAGACACTGTAGTGGATATTAGTATAGACTAGTGGTCCCGCAGTAGTCGAAATTCGACTACAATTAATTGAAATTATAAGTTTCTACATTATTATAGTCCTATTGTTACAGATTTCGCCAAGACTACACTATAGACAAATACTCGTAATATTAAAGATAAACAATTCTAACCTATTCTCAATTTGACTACAGACTTTAAGCAATAACAACAGTTTGACAATAAACAAAGAGTATATGTGAGTGTGTCAAATACATGGTAGTGTGTGTAATGTTTTCTTTACTGATTTAATGTATCTTTTACGCATTATTTAAAAAAAAAATTAGCATTGTGCACTTCTTCTCTATATTCTCTATAACTGTGGAAAATTTCATACTCCTTCGTCCGCGCAAATTTCGTAAAAAAGGATACAAAGTTTTTGTTTCACGTATATAGATTATCTACTCACGAAAATCTTTTTTCACGAAATGATTCTGTTTCTTCAGCCATTCCGCCAGAATATCGACGGCCTCATTCATTTTTCTTTCATCGTAACCGTATCGTTTCTGTATATGCTCCATGGAATCTTCGGGAATTTGCAAAAGCTTTTGTTGAAGCGCCGAACTCATTATGTACGTTAGATAAAAATATTAAAAAATATATAGTTATTAAGCCAAGAAGACAAACGGTAATTTGCGCGAGCAGACTTGCACTGGCGTGCCTAGCGGTCGTAAATTGTATGCTTGTGTTGTTGATTCCATATAATAGTCATTTGCATGGCAAACATATAGTACCTAGTCAGGTCATAAATTCTGTCACCTGTTTAATGTAAAATAATTGAAACAAGTTTATTCATTATGTAACCATTCATATACCAAGATGAACTTAACAAAACATAGATTCTTATGACACTAAAGTTTATTCAAAATGACCTCCGTGATTTTGAATACAGGCCTTCAATCTGCGCGGCCAGTCGTCTATCGCAGCACGAACGAGGTCCATGTCAATATCGGCGGCTGCCTTAATCAAGGATGTCTTGAGTGACTCCAAATTGGGATGAGGCTTTGAGCACGCCTTTTCCTCCAAGTGTTGCCATATCTTGTAATCTAACGGATTCAAATCTGGACTGGAGGAGGGCCAGTCTTCGTGCCGGATGAAGTCGATTTCACGCGCCGCCAGCCAGTCTTGTGTGCTCTTCGCTCTATGAGC